CGTTAGATGCTATTTTTTCATCCCGATTCATAAACTGTGCATCAACGGATGAAGAAGTATGATTTTATTGATGGGAAAAATCCAATCCTTCCATGTGAGGCCACTTGTTTTTTTTGTAGCGTTATCATTCTAATCAACTTCCTGTTGAATTAATCACTTCGCTTCCGTGAGACAAACGATTGATCCATATCAAGAAAAAAACAGGATACTGTTCTGAGATTGACCTACGTTGTCTTGGAGCCGTGTATGCGTCCTCGCTTCCCCGCTTGTGGGGTATGGGCGAGCATCAGAAGCAACTTGCAGCTCAACGCACACATTGCTTGCACTTATCAATGTTCTGCCTTGAATCTTTTGATACCGATACCGTTCTCTTTCGGTCGTGCTCAGAGCATCGATTTGTCATTCTTAAACAAATCGATTCATCTGAATGAACGTACACGTTTTCTCCTTTGTGAACACTTCTCTTGTTGAAGTTGTTTGTTTTATTACAGGTACCGACCTAAAAACAGTTTCAAGTGGTTTCGCATGCTTGTTATGCAAGTTCTTGCCAGTGATACACGACCCCACGCATAACGCCTGCCATAATCATCCCCAGTGTCTTTACTCCTCGTCGGCTCCAAAAACAAATTGCTTCTGTTCTATTACCAACTTACGGATCGCGGAAAGTAACTCTTCATGACTCGCTTGCTATCGGATAGTTGTACTTTTCTTTACCACCACGATTTACTCGTAGATCGTTTTCAACCTGAATCACTATGCATCCATGCACGTTTCTTGTCCTCCATGGTTCCATGCGAAGCCCATAGAGAGGTTGGAATATGAGGCCAATTTTACACCCGAGTGATCGTGTGATCTTCGTCTCCAATAATTAAAAGTGCTGATCGTCTATACTTGCAAGCCTTTCATTACCAAGGCCAATATGCTTTGGCTGGATAGTCTATGTAGTCTATCGTTTCTGAGAGCTGGAACGACGTTTCACCAGTTGACCGAACACTTGTGTGTATACATCTAAGTTCCTGTTTATTCGATACTGTTGGTACTCCTCGATAAATCTAGGGTATGTGACGCAATCTCATCTCACGTTTTGAAGGGTCAGTTTGGTCCAACCGACAACACAGCGTATACACTCCCCGGTGTTTCCTTTAGGAAGTTTATCAGAAATCCCAATATTTAGAGTTTTAAAATGGACTTTGCTTCAAAAGATACAGAACAATGCAACTCCATCTTAGTAATGTATATCACCAAATTTAGATTACCTTGGCATAATTCTGATCGAGCACCAGAAAAAAAACAATGCTAGGGGGAAAAGGCTAAAGCACTTGACCGCTTCAATTTCTCGCGTTGCGTTAAGCACAATCTGGCAAAGAAATTCAGTCACCGTACCACTCTCCATTCGGCCCTTCACTGTACCAACCTTCGCCTTTAGTTTCTATCCACTTCATCTTCTCGTTCTTTAACGGTGCCATTCAAGTGGAAATCGATACAAAACCAATATTTACTACACTTGAACTAACCAGTATATTTCTTCTCCAACCGTCTGTCTCTCTCTCCTCTGTTTTATATCTGCTTTTTTAAATTCACCTCGCGGAAGACTGTCCTATTTTTCGATCCTTTGTACTTAAAATCGAACAGTTTTTTTTGTTTCGCATACCGACTCTGGAATTCTTTCCAGTAGATTCCATCACGCACCCCTTTTCTGTACACCTCCTCTGTTTCGTCTGCACTATACCCACTCACCGAAAGACGAAACCGGGAACTGACCGGCACTCAACGAAATATTCGCTCAGATTTTGCAATCGACCAGCAGACTGAGTGGTTTGTTGTGATTCTTTTTGCCATGAAAACAGCTGTTACTCTGATTATTATCGCTATCTTCATGGATAGGGACCCCGGGTTTCGTACTGAGCATAAATACACACGCACATGAATGTCAATCAACAAATCAGTTAGCGTGATTACGAGTGTTGATGCAACTGACAAAGACGGTGCTTCCAACTACTAATTAGTTTCATCATCACGGTTTGTTATCTTTCTGCTCAAAAGAAGCGACTATATCGCAGTACTACCCGGTCTATGTCCAGGACGATTTGGCTGCATCTCAACATGGTGCATACGGCAGAAAACATAACATTTATGTTGGGATATGATATGACAACAAAGAGAAGTAAAATACAATAAAACACAAACGTAAAGGACGGGTGTGGGGGTAAAAGGACTCTGTCACCAGGGTAAGGAAAAACTAACAAAATTCTTTTTGTTGACATTAGGGGGGTTTCTTTCGGGTGATGGTAATCGCTTCTGCAAACCTTGACTATCTTGCTATTCGTGACGTATCACTAGATACCAATTCGCATACATGTATTCATGATTCATGGTTTAAAGTTTGCGCGTTTTACCCTGTTCTCATTCGACTAATCTGGTGTAGTCAATAGCTTCAGTGCACACATGATTTTTAGTTGGGTTTTGGGACCTTCACGCTTGGTCAAATCTCCTTCGAGCCAATCATCATTCTCCAGATGCAATCTCTTACTACCGTGATAAACATAATTAACGAAGGAGATGCAGCGTAATTTGTGCTTGGGACTAGACACTAACTGATCGTGTGTTGTTCAGATTGCCAGGATTGTGCAGACAAAACGCAACCCAGTTCCCATCTTGTTTCACCTCTCCTCCGCAATTCGAATTTCTCGAAATTGTTCCACTCAGGCTCCCCAGCACAGATTAAAACGTCTTGGAATTCGCTTCTTTTCGGACTTTTTTATACTCAAAATAGCCTCCCGTCCAGAGAACGGACAGAAGATGTTGAATCATTGCAGAGATTTGCGCTATCTATTCTCGAATCCATTTCACTACCTTTTATCTGGTTGCATACAGTCGAAGACAACGAATGTATACATCGGAGCGCGTTGATCCGTGATACGGAAGAGAGGATAACAATTTGACGCTTAACCGTGGTAAATGTATCGGAGTGTAACGGAATGCAGTTGAAATTGTCAGTACAATCTTTGTGAAGCGCACCTGAGCCTTTGACGAAGCTTTTCATTCTTATATACCTATTCCACCGTCAAACACTTCCAACCAGATGTCTTTTTATTACACACTTTCGTGTTGTGAACAGCAGACGGAGTAAACCCCATAGTCACGAGGAACTGCTGTTCAGTGATGTAGACCGGTAACCTAATCCTCGAGACTTGGAGTGGTGAACCACATAAGGCCCCGATAGGTTAGGTGTGGTATTGGACCGGACGACAGCAAAGCTGACTACTACCTAAGTTGAGTGGCTGTGGCGGGACTCGAACCTCAGACCATAGGGTCCAAAGCACGCTGATGACAATGACTAAACCACTGCGCCACCACCACCCTCCAGGACTTATTCCTAAAGTGCTGAATGAAAAACATGTTCTGCTACCAAACCGAGAATTGTGCCCCGGACAAGGAGCACATCCGTCCGCCTGGTTGGAGAAAGCCCATCCCCGTACACAAACTGAACTGGGTTCACACAACCAGTAACCGGCAAGGACCGTGGTTACGAAACCGAACACATCGATTGCCAAGCGCTTACTGATTGAGCGAAAGCATTTTGAGTGATAACGCTAGGATGCTGAAGCTCACCGAGGCGATTGCATCATTCAATGGAAACAAATTTTGTGACAACCGAATGACTTGTTAATCTCTCTTGCTTTCCCTTGGTGACCATTCCCCCATTGACGTTTGTTTATTTTATAATCCGTTCCCAAACTCTACAAAGTACCATCGAATTCCCATTATGTACTACATTCATCTTTCAGCACAGCGAAATTGTGCAGGACATAAATCGTGCAATGTTGCTATACTGACTCCTCTTTCCAAGTTTATCACGGAGAAAGCTTGTTTCAATTCAGAATTGTGTTGTTTTGTTTTCTGTATGTAATGATCTGAACAGGTTTTTCAACATTTGTATTCAATAACCCTGTTGTCTTAGTAATACAGTCAAACTCATTTTCTATACTCTTTCATGGTTTGTATCAAGTTACTTCGTATCCTGTTTAGATCGCCTCGGAAACCAATTAGGTGCATATTCGTCCCCGTTTCTTCCCGCTCTAGGCTATCATCCGTGCTGTAGATTATCACGGTCGACCTCAGTCGAGCGGTGGAACGGATCCTGTCGAGGTCCGATTGATTGATGCGGATGGCCGTCTCGTGCCGACCGAACTGTTTGATGCCGGGGACGGGAGTTACGAGCTAATTCTACGCCCCGTCACACCAGGCACACATCAACTGTCCGTACAAATTCTCAGCCGTCCGATTCGCGGTTCCCCGTTTCAACTTCCGGTCCGTCGCGCACAGCAACGCCGTTGGTGTCTGAGTGAAGGTCAGCCGAATTGTTGTCTAGTTATCTTTTCAACAAGGTTGATGATGTTGCTGGCTATTCTATCTGTGTTCCATGCGATTGAGTCCGCTTTGATGACAGTCTGTTCAGTATGATCCGATTTTAGGAATATTCAAGCACATATTTACACCTGTCTGTTCGAACCAGAAAGGCAAAGTGACTTGCACCAGAAAGGATTTGACAATGTTTTTCTCGGTTGCACACTCCCTTCCGCCACTCACGCACAAATACATGTTTGCATGTTCGATATCCACTGTCGAAGATGATTGAATTTCCCTTCCACAAAAGACTCTCGCCTGATTGACTCGGTGGAAGCCGCTCGTCGTTGTACCTTTCTCGTGAAGCTTTTTATGTCGCTTCGATTTCTCTCAGGTTTACGAGATTTTTTCGATCCATCGTGTGATTGCCTACTGAATTTTTCGGATCATTTACGATAATATGGTGAGCATTGAAAACAACGGACCTGATAGTCACAAAAACGTACTGGCCAATTTCCGGAACCCGCTACTTTCGGTGTGCGAACACCGCTGTCCACGCAGCATTGCTCGAATCTGGCGGGGCAACCGGACGAATAATGCTGAGTTTTGGGTATCCGCGGTCGCCCACTGGAGCAAGTAATCGACCTCCATAGATTACGTTGGTTGGGGCATGTGTTACGCATGTCACCAGATAGGTTGCCACGGGGAGCAATTTTCGCCATAGCGGGGAGTGTTTGGAGAAAGTCAAGGGTGGTCAAACAAAGACCTGGGATGAGGGTATGAAGACCCTAACGAGGAGGCGAAGTCACATAGGTTCCGTTGGGCTCCCTAGCTGGGGACCCCGAGATCATGGTCACCGATGGCTGGATGTCGCGAACTGGTGCTTACGCATCTACTCATTATTCTCTTAACATCACGACGAGACTGCACCTTGACGTGGTGTGATGGCTTGCGCGCCTCAGTGACCCTACGAGCTACACAGGTTGGCTTTTCACAGCCGTAGATCCAATGGTGCC